TTCTTTTCTTAAACACAGATAAAACGGAGGTCATCGTTTTTAACTCCTCAGACCCCAGGCATCAAAATCAATTTGATTTTAAGCACCTAAATTCATTTATTTCCCCTTCAGTGCGAAATTTGGGTGTAGAGTTTGATAATTCTTTAAAATTCGATAAACAGATCAGTTCTGTCGTAGGCTCCAGCTTCTTCTACCTTCGGTCCCTTTCTAAAATTAAACCATTTCTTTCTGTAGTTTCCCTAGAGATTGCCATCCATGCCTTCATCACGTCACGGCTGGATTACTGTAACTCGCTGTACTATGGCATTTCAAAAACTCAAATTTCTCGTTTACAGGTAGTACAAAATGCAGCAGCTAGATTTCTGAAGGGGTGTAAAAAATTTGATCATGTTACACCCATTCTGAGATCCCTGCATTGGCTGCCTGTTCAGCACAGAATTGAGTTTAAAATTCTTCTATTTGTCTACAAATCATTGAACAATTTAGCTCCGCCTTATCTTACAAACCTACTTCATCCCTACATCCCCACAAGACGATTACGATCCGAGGAAAAACTTCTCCTCCAGATCCTTCGCACTCGTCTAAAGACGAGAGGAAATAGAGCGTTTGAAGTGGCTGGTCCTACTCTCTGGAACAACTTACCATCTCAAATTAGAATGGCCTCCACTCTACCTGTGTTTAAATCCTGTCTAAAAACTCATCTTTTTACTTTGGCGTTTATTAATTGATTTCGTTATTGTCATGTTTGATATTATGCATATTATGCTATTAATATTTTACTTATTGTATTTGTGCTATTGACAGTGTACAGCACTTTTCAGCTGTTTTAGCTGTTTTTAAATGTGCTTTAGAAATAAACTTGAACTTGAACTTGAACTTGAATATATAGCGGGAGCGGGTGGGTGTGGGATAGAACCTTGCGGGAGCGGGACTAAAAACAGTCCCGCGCAGACCTCTACTGCCAGCCCTTACTTCCTCCATGCCTGCCCGCACTTCCCCTTGAACAAGATGTTGATGTTCTTTATGATTTTCCAAATGGAAGCAACCCAAAACAGAGGTTTTGTCAGATTTAGTTTACTTTTGTAAGGTAAATATGCCCCCAAACGCTAACAAAATATGCACACACACACACACACACACACACACACACATACTTGCATTTGTGTTTTACAGGGACTCTCCATAGGCGTAATGGTTTTTATACTGTATTTTCTATCGCCCTACACCTAAACCTACCCCTTACAGGAAACTACTGGCAATTTTTGAATTTTTAAGCCTTTTGTTTTACTATGGGGACACAGGAAGTGTCCTCATAAACCATGTTTACGTTGTAGTGCCCATGTCATTATACACATTTGTGTCCTCATAAACCATATATACCTGTACACTCACTCACTCACTCACACACACACACACACACTCTCAAGATGGTTATTTATATCTTTTGCTTTAGTGTGTCAGTTGGATATATATACGGTGATTTTTAGATTTGCATTTGAGTTTGTAATTTGTTATTTTGTTTTCAGAATTGTGATTTGTTTTGCACTTCTCGGGCACCATAGAAATACCAATTTTCCCCTTCCAAATATTCATTTTGCAAATCTTGTAACTATCCAGTGAGATTTTTTGTAGGGGTGTCAGTTTACCGTGTCAATTTAACATGAATACTTATATAAAAATAGTATACATACATAAATAAGTAAATAAATAAATACTTTTGACATGTGATCTGTTTTTTTGTTCAGTACAGCTAAATGGACTGCAACAGAAACATACTTTAAGACACTAAAATACTCTTTAAAGGAATGAATGGACCCTTTCACAAACAGTGTTGACGCATTTCCTTTGTTATTAACATTGTACATCTAGCACATTTTTATTGTGATTTTCTTTTCTAATTTTAATGTACATTTATAACACTATATTTTGTGTTTTTGTGCCTTGGCATTAAATTGCATTAAACTAGTTTTAGTATTTCTAATAGCTGAAGGAGTGACAGCAAATTTGACATCTTTCTTCTGACCAGTGTAATCAATCTCTCAATATTTTTTTCCTCTTTTGGAAAGTCATAGAAACGCTATCATGGATTTTTCCCCCCCTTTGCTACTGGGGCAAATAATAATGCAAAAAACATATTTGTTGTAGTTCCCATTCAGCACTATTGAAGTTTACCTGACTATGACAACTTTCGCTTCAGAGAAGCCCGAAAATGTGAAAAGGGTTCATTGTTTGTAGTTTGATATGCCATCTTAACACTGATATGTGGCACAACAGCCAAAAATGTCAGTCTGCATGTGCACATACACCAGAAATAGAAAAAAGTCATGCGCTCACAGACAGATACAACAGCCAATCCTAGTTGAATGTGCGCTGGCCGAGAGAGCTCAACGCGCTGCAAATAGAAAAAACACCTGCAAATTCTGAAAACAACTTCATCAATTTGACAATACACGCGTTGCAAATGCTCTCAACACAACCAAACTAAGAAACTGGCTGAAAATAAAATTCTTTATTTGGTTGTGTTGTGAGCATTTGCAGCACCTGCTGTCAAACTGATGAAGATGTTTTCTTGATTTGCTGGTGCTTTTTCTATTTGCATGTGTTTTCTGAAGTTGCAGCACATTGAGCTCTCTCGGCCACCGTATGAATGACCTAAATGTATAAATCCTAAATTTACTAAAGACCGATTGCAAAGTGGAACACTGTGGGTTAGTGATAGGCTTATGTTCAGTGGTAAAAACCTGCAATATATTGACTTATAAGGGCACTTTTTGAATTCAAATATTTAATCGTGCTACAATAATGCCTTTGAATGATCTTTAAATACTTAATCACAACATTTAATTAATTCGATTACAATTTTGGAATAAAATACATACAACACCTTTTATAAGCAAAAGATCATTTTACAAAATATGTGACCCTGGAGCACAAAAGCAGTCATAAGTCACACGGGTATATTTGTAGCAATAGCAAACAATACATTGTATGGGTATGTAGTATATTTTTCTTTTATGCCAAAAATCATTAGGATATTAAGTAAAGATCATGTTCCATGAAGATATTTTGTATATATATTTGATATGTTCATACCATAAATATATCAAAACTTAATTTTTGATTAGTAATATGCATTGCTAAGAACTTCATTTGGACAACTTTAAAAGTGATTTTCTCAATATTTAGATATTTTTGCACCCTCAGATTCCAGATTTTCAAATAGTTGTATCTCGGCCAAATATTGTCCTAATTTTGAAACATTTGTAGTGACAAGATGTGCTGATAAATCCACAAATGCGTGGATCAAGCCAATCAGATAACAGCCACACTTCGCTGACCAATTGTTGACCACTTTCTCACTATAGCCAATCACGTTTTGCTTTACATTCAAGGTGGGAGCAGATTCATTTATTCGCACCCCTGTAAGGAACTGCTATCTATGGACACACTTCGTACAATTGAGCTGAAGAGCTGTTTGTGTGGCTAAAAAATCCTGTTTGACTTCTTAATATTTCCATCAGGATCAGTGAATGAGGATAAACTCAGGATTATACACAATTTATGATCATTCACAGATCCTGATGATTAGTAACACCCTTGCGATTTGTTCAAATATAAATCATTATAATCAGCGATACTGTCAACACTGGACAAGGCGCGACATGATGAAGTGCAAATGATTCACACTTTTGCTTTAATGCATCCAGGTGCAGCTGTAAACATGACACAATGGCCTATTTTGCCTTTTAAAGCACAATTGCGGTGACAAAAATAGGGCATATTGACACATATAATATCAAATATGGGCCCAAATGACCACATGGGCGCAGTGATAAAAAAAAAAAAAAAGAAGTTTTTTTGGGATGCTGTAACATAAATTTTACTTTAAAACTAGTAAGTCTGATTTATATGAAATATTGTTTGTGTGATCAAGTGTTTTAACCAATGAATATCATGTATCCATTGATATTTTTATGGCCCTTTGTTACGACCTGTTCATTTAAAGCCGCAACATAAAATAGGAATCAAACAACAACATTTACATTTACATTTAATCATTTAGCAGACGCTTTTATCCAAAGCGACTTACAAATGAGAACAATAGAAGCAATCAGACCAACGAAAGAACAACAGTATACAAGTGCCATGACAAGTCTCAGTTAGTCTAGCACAGTACACGTAGCTAGGTTTTATTTTATTTTTTTATTATTATTATTAAATAATAGAACAGAGTAGAATAGAATGAATCTATACAAATTGTTTTATTGAATTAAACTAATACAACAACAGTCAGTAATGATAATAAACACAAGTCTATGGATAATAAAAATCTTAGATACTGAGCAAGAGCCACTCCTGAGGGAAACTATCCCACAGAGTGTGCCTATCCCATTTAACACACAACACTCCTATATACTCTAATTATCAATTAACATGGGGGAAGACCAATCAAAAGACTAAGGGTGGCCACACCCTTATATTTGCTGAGCCAATGCAGATGAATGAAGGTTATAGCAAGAACATGCTACGATTGGTCAGCGAAATGTGGCTGTTATCTGATTGGCTTGAGTAGACGGTGGGTGGAGTCCATGCATTTGTGGCTTTGTCAGCACGTCTTTTCGCTAGAAATGTTTCAAAATCCACAAATGTTTGCAGCGATACACAAATGCACAGAAAGCCATTCACAAATGTACAGGACATGATCCACAAATACGTGCATAAGATATTTGTGAATATGTTTTTTTATTTGCAAATGTCATTTTATTTATTTGTTAATGTTTATTTTTGTTAATATTTATACATGTATTTTTTGAATCATAATCTATTCATTTGGAATAATGCAACAAAAATATCTCCATATCTGTGCGCTATGCTGAAAATATTTTTGATTTCTTTGTCACACAAGAAATAAGGGCAACCTAATTGCTGTACTGAAGTAATGACATTCAGCCAGGAGTGCCATCACAGCATTTTGAATTTATTTGTCAAGGTTCTGGATGGGCTTAATGCAGGAGTCAAGCGGCTGGGCTATTCCATATCTGGAGGACTAGATGTTGATGGGAATTTTTATCCAGATCTAGCTATTGGCTCTCTCAGCGATCAGGTTGTGCTTTATAGGTGAGATATGAACTGCCTGTATATGTGTTTGACATGAGCTGTGAATTGAAAGCATGTGTCCCGTAACAAAGATGTCAACTGAATGTTTAAGAATAGATGCCTTGCAGTCATTATTACTCTTTGAGTTTCAAGATCTTTTGTGACTCTTTGATCGTTTGTCCATTAGGTCATGTCCAGTGGTCCACGTGATCCGAGACATTTCCATTGAGCCTCAGTATATTGATCTGACACAGCACAGCTGCCAGGGCCAAGATGGTGTTTGGTCAGAAGTTACTTTTTATTGATTGCACTATATATTTGTTTTTCTTAAGGCTATGCAATTAGATGAGTACTGAACAATACCTGTAATTATGTTACTACATAGGTCTTATTGTGTCTTCACATCGTGTCTATGACATCTTGTTTGGAAACGTTATTACATGTTTTAACAGCACTTGTAACACGCGTGTTGTCTTTATCTAGTGTGGATGTGAAGGCCTGCTACACGTACACTGCTTATCCAGACTCCTACTCACCACATATCAGTAAGATAAACCACATCTACCATCACGACATACAGCATAAGTGCAGATATACACATATGTTTGAATGTTTGTGTTGCTCTCCCACATCAGCACTTGGTGTACATTTTGAGGCAGACATAGAGCGCAGGAAGTTGAGTCTTCCTCACAGAGTTCACTTCCTGGGCCGCAGTTTATCAGAGCCGGAGTACGTTCATTCAGTGGAAGTGGAGCTACATGGACAAAAACATCCTGACTGCCAAACAGTGACTTTTGTTGTACAGGTAGAACATTCATTCATTCATTCATTCATGCATTCATTCATGCATTCATGCATGCATGCATGCAGTGATGTCAGATCACAAGTGGTCACAGAAGATGCATTTGAGATGCATGTTAATATTAGGTGAAATGGGAAGGGACTCTTCTGTTCTCCTTTTACTAGGAAAACATTCAGGACAAGCTGCGGCCCGTCTCTCTGGCTATCACACACACTATACGGAGAAGCAGGCATCACCACCAAATGGGACATAAACACCATAACCAGCTGAGCCCTGTACTGAGCCTCAGTCCCTCAAACACACTCTACTCTGAGGTAAAACACATGTCGTTTCTGTGCTCTACTTTTTGAATTTGGTTGTGATTGGTCAACCGCTGCATTCCGTGTTCGGATGTTTGCGTATAATGACTCTACACTGTACATTTGTCTCATGAAAGACTTGTCCTTCATAGCTGTGTTAGTTTCATCTCTCTCGTAGCACCCTGTGTTGGGTTGCACAATTAACTGGAAAAATAATCAAGATTACGATTATGGCTGTTGTGACAAATTATGAGCTTTATATTTAGATCTAGTGCCTTTGGATGAATGGTTTCTACTTGCATACAGTCTCAGTGAGACTAACAATGTATTCCACACGTGTCATGTTTTACTTCTGCTCCACTTTTACCTTACATGTTCACTGGTGCTCAACACACACACTTAGTATTGATATTAGTATTCCCATTATATTTGTGTGGACATCAGTGAGCTCAATCTGAAGTGCAGCAAGCAACAGTCATTACGGGTGTTGTGGTATTGTCATACTGTGTCCTGGTATAGGCTACATGATGAATATGAAGTGGTCCACACAAAGTATTTTATAGTATCCAATAATTTCATAATCTACACTAATGATTGAGATTCCAATTACCATTTTTGCAATAGTCATGTGACCTTAAATCTTCACAAAATAAAAGTATTTTCACACAATGTTGCATTGCATATTGCAATATTACCCTCAAAATTGATATTGCATGCCCGTGTATTAATTGGTAAGTAGTCAGATATCCACTTCATGTTTATTTTGTGAAAAGGACTAGCTGTCTGCACATGATCTTTTATGTAACATTCACGGAATGGAATTTCCAGTATCCCATCAGGAACTCAAAAACAGTATCACAACAGTAAAAATGAATGTGCAATGCTTAGTGCAAAGCTTTCTGTCTACTTCTCAGGTCAATTTTATCAGAGAAGGGTGTGGTGAGGATAAAATATGTCAGAGCAACCTTCAACTCTCCTATCAGTTTGGCACAAAAGCACCCATTTCAAATGCCTTTATTCCTCTGCCACGGTAAGTGCTTATACACATATGTTCTGTCTCAGTCACTGCATGCTTAGAGTGTGAGCAGACCACGTCTACAGACAGTGCTGACATGCTTTGCTTCATGCACATTCAGAGTCTTAATCTGACTCTGACACCTCACATATTTCCATACAAGGGTTTAGTATTAATAACTCCACTCATCAGTCAGGAGGCCTTCCTTATTTTAATTACTCCCACATGTGCTTTGCGTTTAGAGACGAGTCTGATGTGCCAGTGTTCTCTCTGTCGGATCAGAGGTCAGTAGTGCTGGAGGTCACGGTGACTAACATGCCATCTGACCCGGAAAACCCACAGGAAGATGGAGATGATGCCCATGCCACCCAGCTACTGGTGTCTCTGCCCAACACGCTCTCGTACTCTGGACTCATGGGGCAGCAGGTCTATTTGTGTCTCAGTGACAGCCAACAGTCTTTCTTTTCTCAATCATATTTCTCATTGTTTCCTAATCCTGACTGCGTTGTGTGTTCTTGTCTTGAAGGTATTGTGTGAAGTTAATCAGAACGGCTCTCAGGCGCTGTGTGAACTGGGCAATCCGCTGAAAAGAGAAGCGACGGTATAGTAACGGTCGCACGTGCACACTTACACTATTCTGACCTTCAAGAAACTGAGTCTGACTATTAATTCTTTATGTCAGGTCAAATTTTATCTTGTTCTGAGCACTTCTGGGATCACTATAGAAACAACGTCACTGTCCGTTCATCTTGCACTGTCTACGTGAGTTCAGCCTTTTCAGTTGTTTTCTGCCAAAACAAAATTTGTGAGCAAAACAAAATCACACAAATGATGTGAAATGAATATGTGTAAATCACGCACAGGATAAGTGAGCAGCCTGCTTTGGCCCCCGTCACGGCGTATGCGCGAATGGTGATCGAGCTTCCTCTGGTGCTTAGCGGGTAGCTGTTCACTTCCTGTCTCTGATTTGTGATGTTTACACATGGTTTCTGAAACAACAGCTTGTTTTCTCATGACTGCTGCTCTCACTTCAGTTCATTTCAAAATTGTCTGTAAATAGATCTATTCATTCATTTTGAATATCTCATTAAATGTTCTTTAAATGTGTCGACTGGGGTTTATAAGTTGTCTTGGTCTCCTGCAGACTGGCTCACCCCCATCAGCTGTTCTTCAGCGGAGCAGTGAGGGGAGAGAGCGCTATGGCATCACTGCAGGACGTTGGCAGCGCAGTGGACTACGAATTCATTGTAAGTTCATGTATGCAGAAGAATATTGTATTGCTCAGAAGATCCTGCATCACATCTCAAGTGCTGCACTACAGATTTTCTTTCTTTGTTAAATTCCTTGTTAAATTCCACATTCTTATCTGTAAGTTTCTGTACAAAGCTAGGGAGTTGTCATGCTTTTCACTTTAGAATACTGATCCAAATAATCAGTAGTTCCTTTAGAAGGATTTGAGTCATTACTAGTGGGTTACCATGATCTTCACTTTAGAATTAATTATACATTATGCATAATTCACATTAATTATGAACCTGTATACAGTAGTTCTTAGTATTTCTAAAGGGAATATGAAGAAATAGTAGTTATTGACTAGCTAATAGTGAACTACCAGTTTCAACTGAGCACTATTACTTACTAAATCGCTAATTAGACTTTCTTGTTAATTAATAGTAGTTACTAGAATATTAATAGTGCAATAGTCATTTGTTCCTGTGTAGTTATTCATTAACGATGGAACAGTATTCTAAAGTGTTGCCATCTGTTTTGATGTGCTTTATCAAATATTTTGTCCTGTCTGTTTACAATTCCTCATCACTGACTGTTTACACAGAGAGAACACACACACACGCACGCACGCACGCACGCACACACAAACACACACACACACACAAACAAACAAACAACATGTGAGCATTTGAAAGTAGACAACCGTCAGTAAGTGAGTTTTGTGTGTTGAATTTATATTGTATTCCATATGGCATAAATGATAGTTTTGTAGAGCATTATGAAGGAGGACAAAGAAAAAACTGAGAAGCCAATTAGTGATGTCCAGTTAGTAAACAAACCCTTCTTTTCAACCAGTTCTTTTTAGTGAACTGAATGAACCAGTTCACCAAATTGGACTGAAAAGTCTGAAACAGTTTGCGGCTCCAGTCAACACTGAAGTGATCAATCAAAACTAATAATCAGTCATTCTGACATGAAATGAGCCAATATGGTGGAGCTCATAATCCTTTGGTTGGAAAGTTGGTTTTTACCAACTCTTTTTAGCAGTGCTCCAGTTACTCCAGCAACCTACATGCTGTGAACTGTCTGCCGAGTTTCATAAAGAAGGTGAAATGAAAAAAAGAAAGGTTCTAATGTGTCTTGCTGAACAGTGCAAAGTGTAACAAGTAACATTTCACGAGTTCGCCTGCCCATCCAGTCCTGGTAAACGAACTTGGCTTGCAGTCCTTAATGGAGGCTCAAACCTGAGCTCAGCTTGAGCGCCGAGTTCAACCCCCCATTGCCGTACTACCTAGAGGGAGAAAAACAGAAATAGAGGAGGAGATGGGGAGGTGTAGGGATGCCAGAAGAATTGCCGCTGGGACGGTGCAATGAGAGCTGCTTATATAGGCTCGTAATGATGATTGACAGGACTGAATGATTAGGCTCCTCCCGAACCAACGTTTAGAACTTCATTTAGTGCAAATACAACTGATCTGATCAGAGGTGGAAAAAGTACACAACTCTATTACTTGAGTGAAAGTACAGATACTGCTGGTCAAATATTGCTCCATTACAAGTGAAAGTTGTAAAGACAGATTTTTACTTAAGTAAAAGTACAGAAGTACTTGCTTTTAAAAGCACTTAATTACCAAAAAGTACCAAAAGTAAATTTAATTTCTGATGTCAAAACACTATTTTATTATTGTTGTATGTAATACTTGCAATGCCTTATGCCTCTGAAGCAACTTACAATACATTATATACCTACTGAATACACTGACTATATCTTTGTAATGAAGAGCTTTTCACATCTATGTATAGACATGCATCCACATTTGAACTGACTGGACAGTGAAATTGCTGGAAATACAGACTGATAAGAAAAAAAAAACCTGCTTTAAAACCCAGCAACACAACTGTAGCTGTGTAACTGTACAACAGCAACACTACTTTAACAAAAAGAAGAAGAAAAAAGCAAGATTTATTTGACATTATCATTCTCACCGTTCTTTGACGTCATACACAGAACGGTCTGTGCAGTGCTGCTTCAAGTCAAACACCCATTGTGTTTTGTTAGGAGATGCAAAACATTTCTTCTGTGGCTTTATAGGTAATATTTTCGTTTACACAATTTTGCAAAATCAGACAAAATTGTGTCTAATATATACCACAATATTAACTTCTTATTATTGAATTGTTGTAAACAAAAATCACATTTGCAAGTGGTCAGTGTTCAAAAAAATGCTGGGAAATCCCTTCACGTTGTTACGGGGCAAGTGAGACATGCGGATCCATCTGCAAAGCTTTTATTTATAAGGGGTGGTCATAAAACAGGCAAGGTTCTGACAATGGCAAACAGGTATATTGAGGGCAAGACCAAAGAGTAATCCAAAACAGGCGTGAGTCAGTCGACAGCGAACATTATCCAGAGGGCTTGACAAGAGGGGAAATCCAATAACACAAGCAATAGTCAAGGCGAGGTGCAAACACAGTCCGAAACAGAAAGGCAAAGGGTTGATCCAAGATAAACAGGCAAGAATCAGGTAACACGGGAAAGCAGGCAAGACAAGACTATGACTAGGAACTAAGAAACTAGGACAGAAAACTGGCTCCGTAATGTGCTTCCACACTCTAAAAAATGCTGGGTTAAATACAACCCAGTGCTGGGTAAAATAGGGACAAACCCAGCAATTGGGTTGTTTTGACCCAGCGGTTGGGTTACTACCCAGAAGGTTGGGTTAAACATTTAACCCAACCGCTGGGTCAAAACAGCCCAATTGCTGGGTTTGTCCCTATTTTACCCAGCACTGGGTTGTATTTAACCCAGCATTTTTTAGAGTGCACTAGGAGAGCGATATACGCAAACAATACTCGGCGATTTGAGTGGTTGTTATATAGTGTGTGTGTGATTGGCTGCAGGTGAGTCCAATCAGTGCAATGGAGCATGGGAAATGTAGTCCAGGGTGATGTGCAACAGTTTGTGTCATGTGAGAGTCTATGTAATCAGAAGGCGGCCTCTGGTGGCGAGCAGATGAAAGATCACGGACAGGATTCATGACACACGTTGCGTGCGCTACAACAGCGATTGCTGATAGACTGTCTGAAAAAAAGTCTTAGAGAAGAAAAACGTTTTAGAGAAGAAAAAGAATCTCCCACTGACTTTCAAAGCTGCTACGTAGTAACGACTTTCTACTTTGAGGACCTTGATAGAAATGTAGTGGAGTGAAAATACAATATTTATCATTCAAATATAGTGAAGTTAAAGTCATACATTTCCAGAAAAATGAAGTGAAGTGCAGATACTCAAAAAGTGTATTTCCACAGAATTAAAGAATTGATTCAGAATCATTGAAGAATAATTATTTTTTCCCCCTCCCACTTTGCTGTCCCCATAACTGTCCAGTCCAGATCCATTTACATGTTTAAATTATTCATCTCTGGCAAGTGGGGGTTTAAACTCAGCACACTTTGAAACGAAGTTGAAATCTCTTCTGAAACGGGGGAGATAAGTGTGAGATTGCTGGATGTTGTCTATCTGAGATTTGAGTAGAAGTCTCCTTTTGCTCTCCTGTTCATTTACCTTCTGTCTAGTAGAAATGGAAGGAACCGGATAGAAATAAGAATTTGCAGTGATTATTGTCTTGTGTGATAACAGGTGTCTAATACTGGGCAGTCTCTCCAAACTTTTGGCTCGGCCTCTCTGAACATCCTGTGGCCGTACGAGCTGATCAATAGGAAGTGGCTGTTGTATCCGAGTGCTCTGCAGGTGGACGGCCAGCCTCACACTCACTGTGAACCCCAGTCAGCGCTCAACCCCCTGCGCCTGGCCCTCGACCAGCCGCCGCAGACAGAAAACCTTAAGGTACACACAAGCACCCATCAAATGAAGCCGCTGGTCATTGATCAATGCAAATACTGAGTGAGACGTTTATCTGTGAACAGGGCAGCAGAAAGGTGCGCTCGCATCTGGAGACCAAAGACGACCTTATTCCCAAAAGCCCGGTAGGAAAAATCACTCCAGCTGTTTCTGCATCTGAGAGAAGGAAGTCTCTCACACTGGTGAGTGCGAACCAGGACAGTAGACAAAATTAGAAATTATTTTCTGCCGTATATTATTTTATAATCTGGGGTTGTGGGTGATGGATCTGCTGGTGTGTTTCAGGATTGTTTACTGGGCTCTGCACGCTGTCTGCTCTTCCAGTGTCCTCTACTCTCATTCTCCGGCTCGATCCATTTCAGGATCCGAGCGCACATGTGGAACAGCACTTTCATTGAGGTGAATGATTGTTTTTAATATTAACACAGTGGGGCTAATACAGAAAGGAGTTAATATTTACTGTACATTATAAAAATGATTTCAAAAGATGTAAACACATTTACACTTAACTTCAGACAAGAAAACAGTGCCAAAGCAATCACCACAAACACATATAGCACAAGCCCACAGCCAGTGAAATATTATCCATAAATGTGCACAGTGTTTAACCGGTTCATATATACGTATGTGTTGTCATGCACAACAGATTGCAGTACTTCAGTGTGAAGCGAGGTGAGTTTTTAACGCAAGTAACATCACAACGCCTAGAGAGAGTAGCAGCAGTCCTGCATTTTCTCCGTTTGCAGACAATGTATTGTACCATGGAATGATGAGCACCCAGATTTTTACCTGTGCGTTACAGAGACGGTTGTGATGGTGTAGGTGTTGGTAAACCCCTGGTCTCAGCCACAGAGCAGCCGCAGTCCGTTTACTGATCATCCAGTGCATAATGTGCACAAAACTGGAGAACTCCGATCAGATTACCTGACTGATGTACATAACAATAAAATAATCCCTGGATTTGCATGTTTGAAAGATACTCAGACTTTTTGATCAAGACACTTAGTAACAAGTAAACAAAATGTCGTTGTGCAGAAATGAGTATTCTAGTAATATTCTAATTAGCGTTTCTTAGTTTTAAATGGACAAGATTTGCACTAAAATGTTCTCCTGGTCTGCTGTGCCATTGTTTGCGCATTTTTTTCCATGCTGGTCTGTTACTGCAATATGATTGCATTCAGATACAGTCACCTCAAGCAGTTTATTAATCACATTTATATCATAACAGACACAGATTTTCAATATTAATTGCACTACCATTCAAAAGTTCTTAAGAAATAATACTTTTATTAATTAAGGATGCATTAAATGATCAAGTGACAGTAAAGACATTTATAATGTTACAAAAGATTCTATTTAAGATAAATGCTGTTCTTTTGAACTTTCTATTCATCAAAGAATACTGAAAAATAAACTGTTTCATCTTTCTGCTTTTACAAATGATTTGCAGAAAGTTACGAAGCAGCGCAACTGCTTGCTTGATAATAATCAGAAATGCAAATCAGCATTCCTGAAGGATCATGTGACACTGAAGCCTGGAGTAACGATGCTGAAAATTCAGCTTTCATGGGAATAAATAACATTTTAACATATATTCACGTAGATAGCAGTTATTTTAAACTGTAATAATATTTCCACAATATTACTGCCTTCATTGTATTTTTGAACAAATAATAGGTTATAAAATTGCTGCAATGTTGATGAAGCTTTAATACAAAGTTATTCTAATCGAATCTAATCAGTGTAATGGTAAATCGAATATTCCGGTGTATTTGTGGGTTGTTTTATCGGCTCATCCAATTCGACTGCAGAAGCAGAACTCTCAGTACAGTGTTCACTTTCTGTCCATTAGGAGTTTCCATCTGTCAGTGCTGTGGAGCTGCTGGTCAGAGCCAATATCACCATAAAATCCAACATTAGACATCTGGTGCTGAAGGACGCTGCAACACAGGTCAGATAACACACATTCTCACAGCCGAGCATGTTCATGGTAGCGTATTAATTTTTGTGTGTGTGCAGGTGTCAGTGATGATTTACCCAGAGCACGGGCTCTCAGACCAGCACAGCATCCCATGGTGGATCATTCTCATTGCTGTCCTGGCTGGAATTATTGTTCTCGCGCTGCTCGTGTGTTTACTGTGGAAGGTAAGTGTGCACCTGCACCCACTCAACAAGCTTCTTTAATAACCATGATATTACCACACAACCTGCACCCATGACTTTGGTGATTTCTCACTTGTTTGACTACTGTCCTGGTGAATGTCCAAAAGAATATAATTTGGCTTGATGACATGGTTGCTGTCTGATTAATCAGTGGAGTGGCGGTTTAGTAATTACTGGTTGCCAGTCATGTACTTTTATGGACACAGTCTAGCAACTTACTTCTGGATTCTCCTCCTAAAAAAAAAAAAAAACGCTCCATGTTTTATGACCTTTTTTCCAATTTATCTGTATATAGTAAAGCAGCTTTGCAGCAAACAGAGCTGCTATGGCTCACTCTTTAAGATGTTTAAGAAAGAAGGAACTGAGACAACTGCAGTGGTCAGATGAAACATCTTTCACTTTATGAAACATTGGACTCAAAAGTCAGTCTGCTGTCATTTAAAGGCATGAAAACGAACCCTAAAAATGAACATAGTAAAAATGTACTCGCCCTCATGTTGTTCCCAAACTCTTTTCCATCCAAAGGAAATGATTGGGGGAAGTGCTGTAAATGACTGAAAACAGCACGAATGTTTCATATAAGCAGCCCATACAACTAGCTATACGATAGGAGGCAAGCACAGTTGTCATTCGCTCATAAAAGATGACAGAATTCTTATTCGTGGAGGTACTTAATGAAGTGCACCTATGTAAAAGTGGTCATTGTGCATATGTGACGAAATCGATTCCCTTTTCCTACTATGCATTCTATTGTCTTATAACGTTTATCATAATATTTCCTCAGTTCTAATTATTTAACCACCCATTGCTAGTTCCTCCTGTTTTCTTCTGTCTGTGCCTACATTTGTTTGCATATTTCTGCTATATATTCCCGTCTGGTGGAGCAGTGTGGTTTTTTCAAGCGCACGGAGAGGCAGCCTCAGTATGAAACCGAGTATTACCGCGCTCAACTGCAGCTGCAGCCATCTGATGTGGAGAGGAAGCAGGCCACTGAACTTCACTAAGAGCCTCATCCAGCCTGATCTTCCTCCAGCACATCCGTCATGTGGTACAGCTCCGTTCTGCAGTGGAGTGTGCTGCTGTGCTGTGGCTTTCCAAACTATAAGTGTCATGGCATGTTAACCAGTATATGAATAATAATAGGCATGACTAACAACTTAACATCCATGATCTAATACGTGTTGCTGTCATTGAAGCGCCATTGAGACAAGGCACCAGGGCCATGCCTTCTTAATTTGCTAAACCGCTAGGGAATCTCTCACTAGGAAACAGATTTAGCATGCACATTTACAGAATTACAAGCCACTTGATTTGAGATTTATATTTGTAAATAACTTTTGATGGCAGTGGTATCAGTGACGCGAGGCAGAACAAGCAATGAATTTCCTGTAACAATAGATAGTAATTGAGCAAATTAAAGAACACGGATCATTTCCATAATTAGCATAGAGTCACAAACAAGTAGAGCCTGTGATAATCAAGTGCAGGTGACATTAAATAATAATGCGAATACCAATAAATTGACAAGCACATACCTTAGTGAATCGCCTTGCATGATTTATTCTAAATGAATACATCTGAAAGTGAAACTCTAACAAATGCATATGCAATAAGGTCAGCCACAAAAATAACTCTCTCCACTCCACTAACTTTTCACTGTAAGGGTGTTACATACTCCTACTCAACATATAAACATCATTAAAGGGATAGTTCACCCAAAAATTCTGTCATTAATTACTCACCCTCATGTCGTTTCAAACCCGTAAGACCTTCGTTCATCTTCAGAACACAAATTAAGATATTTTTGATGCAATCTGAGAGCTCTCTGACCCTCCCATAGACAGCAAGGATCCTAACACGATCAGGGCTCAGAAACGTAGCAAGGACATCGTTAAAATAATCCATGTGGCATCAGTGGTTCAACCGCAATTTTATGAAGCTACGAGAATACTTTTTGTGCACAAAGAAAACAAAAATAACGACTTTAATCAACAATTCGTCTCCTCCGCATCACCCTGTAGCGCCATTTTGGAGAGTATCACATACGTAAACAACGTATGCTGTTCTGTGTCAGCTGCACCGTACTTGGATACGTTGTTTACGCTTTGATCTGAACGTAAACAACGTATCCGCGTACATACGTTGTCAGAGAAATCTCTGAATTCATCGAAAATATTTGTATTTGTGTTCCGAAGATGAACAAAGGTCTTACAGGTTTGGAACGACATGAGGGCGAGTAATTAATGACATAATCTTCATTTCTGGGTGAACTATCCCTTTAAGAAACATTATAGTCTTCTTAAAAAAAATGAAAGCCTGCAGATCATTGAAGATCAAGGATGATGGAAATCTGCTTTGTATTCAGTGCAATACTACACCCTGACTGACTAAAAGTTTGATAAAAGGATGGGCAAAATATTAGATGTGAGTAAGAGTTGTTCGACTCTTAGCTTAGCTTGTGTATGAAGGGCATCAAAAGAAGATCTGATAAGCAGCGGTTGTCGAGCACTAACTTTATCACTCTAAAAAAAATAATAGTTAAAAAAGAGTTTGAAGCTGAAATAGACCAAGCATGGTGTAAATTAATGTCTTGCCACACCTGCCAATGGAGTACATTGTTATTATGACAATGGAATGGAAGTTTAAATCTTAGAATAACAGGTAAAATCTCTCACATGATTTTAACCTGGTTATTAAACAAACAAAAAAAAATGTATCTCATTGTGCTTCTTTCTCTTTTACAGTGTGGTTTCTTCCAAAGGGTTCGGTATAAAGATAAAGTGCCCCAGTATAAGGCTGTGAAGATCCTGCGGCAAGAGACACAGTTTCAGGACAAGACTTTTATTTTGCACAAAAAACAATGGGCTACCCACTGGAGTGATGGGACAATCTAATCTAATATGCATCTTTTTGTCCTCAGCAACATGTACGCTAACCAGAGAATGCAGTGGACTCGCACTGACCTTAAACATACACAGCAACAGATTTTTATTCAGCATTTTATAAGTTGCATTTTTCATTGCTCTGCAGATTGAAAGAAACTTTCAGAAGGACAGCTGGATCTAGCTGGAGATAGACAGTATATAAATGGAAATATATGTACCTAGTATTAAAACCACTGTTTAATGTATTAATGTTGAATTCAGTGTAATAATGGTGTTTGTGAACTCATAAAACAGTTGTGGTTCTGTGTCAACTACAATGCAGTGCCTTTAGAACTTTGAAACATTTGAATACTGAAACATATTTTAAGGGTCTTTATGTCATACGAGGAACATGAAAAAGTTTTCAATTCGCAATAAACTTGGCATGCATCATCCAAAGACCCTCATTATAAAAAGCTATTACGTTAAGTCTATTTTATTTGTTTAGCATTTTTCATAGTATACATCATTCCAAAGCAGATTTACAGAAAGTCATACTGTTTTATCTATAATGCCTTAAAGTCCCCATGAAATCAAAAAAAGTTTTTTGGGTGTTAGTATCAATATGTTAGTCTTAAGGTTATCTATAAGGCAGTGTGCTCCAAAACAGTGACAAAATTCGCATTTAGAAGATATAAGCATTCAAAGTTTGCAGTTCGTCGCTTCCGCCAAAACGGCTCAACGATTATTTTTTGACGTCACATCGTACTTTAGCTTCTCATCAAACTTTCTGTCCAATCAAATGGTCTCTAGAACTATACTATAAATGAAATTAAATAAAGGAGGAAATCAATAAATGAAACAATAATGGCTAAGTGTATAACTAAACAGGAAGAAAAGGGGTAAAACGCAATAAAATAACAAGTAAGTATAAGTCTGAATAGAATGTATTGATAGGGGTAATAAAATAAATTAGGTAGAATAAGTTTACTTAAACTTTAAAAGTTCAAGGCTTATTCGTACCTAAGATGATTAGGCATAAGAGGGAATACTAGAAATAATGATCATATGAAATGATCTGAGGGGGAAATTTGAATGATTCCAAATTAGCCCAAGCTGTGATATAAACGAACGCTATTGGCTATTTTAAAAATGGGCGGGGCTGCTTGATATGTCCCGCCCTGTCTTCCTGTTTCAGTTAAAATGACGTCAACACAGAGTAACGCTGCGTGTTTCTAAGCATTTCAGGGGACCTTTAAGCCCAATCCTTCAGCTGTCATGCTGGCGTCATGCAGTAGGTGGCGGTATGCGCCTTTAAGTGGGTTTGCCAACTGCTATTAAAAGGAAAAGACTCGCAAATAAACCCCAAAAAAGAAGAAATGTGCATGTGTGACGCACGAGAACCTGCGAGGTCTGTTCTAGCGCGTCACACATGTGTGAGCTTCTGTGTTCAGTGTATTTGATGCACACTTTTCTAACGATCTCTTACTTTTATCTGCCGTCAAACTGTCTGAGACGTCGTTATAACGTGCTGCTATGGGTTGCATCTTCGGATTTGACTGACAGACTGGTGTTCTGACACTGCAAGCTTCATGCTTTCTGACCGTGTTGAAATTATTCTACTTACTGTACATATAAAATACAAGATGTTTACTGTATATCAGCAGTCCCATATTCACAATTGTGACCACATACAGTCTGTTTACAATGTCTACCATTGTGACATGTTTCCATCTATGAAAGTCTTTATATAGTGTGTGCATAGAAAGAGAGTGTGTATCTTATAATTATATTTTATATATTACTTTTACTCTCTGCACAACTCTATATAAATTGGATTGATTTTAATAACTTTAATGTACTTTAATTGTGCACCAGACACTAGGAATATATAAGTATCAGATCGCGACTCGGTACTGGCAGATACCCAATATTCAATGACTAGGATCGGATTGGGGCACAGAAAAACCTGATCGGGATATCCCTAAATAAGAGAATAGCAGGCAATATCTACAGTACGGTTCAATGCTGCAAACTTCATATTCTATTTACCCAAGTTATGTTATCGTCAATGTTTAGGCTATGTATAACAATAATGTTAGGATAACTCAGGGGTGGCCAACTTAGGTCCTGGAGAGCCACATTCCTGAAGAGTTTTGCTGCTCTAATCAAACACACATGAACAAGCTAATCATGGTCTAAGGGTCACTAGCAGTGCATCCAAAATCATGTACTGAGAAGGTACTACATTTGAATATTGAATATTGATAGTGTAACACTCATCAATAAAATTTATTTTGCCGCTGAACTGAAACAACACAACATATACAAAGAGTAGCCTATAGATAGTTTTTTACCATAACATAGTATTGAGGAAACTGCATGTGTTGATAGTCCAATGTGTTCACCTGTGTATATACAATCCAAAGTATTATAATCCAAGGTGCAAGTGTTAGTCCTTGAAGGGTAAGTATCCACAAAGGGTACTTCACAATCCAGGCAGTAGATGACCATGGACCTGAGTCCCATTTAAGGGTTTTTTCACATATAGTTAATTTTAAAGTAACCAAACCCAGTTCACTTAAAGGGAACCAGCTGAAAGTGATCTCAGTCCTTTGTTGTTCACTATATAGTGGACACAGAATAGCGGACTTCATATTGCTACTATATTGTTTCGCAGGTTTCATTGACACACACGTGCACACACACATGCACGCACACACACACACACACACACATCACTTGCAGAGACATGGAGATCATGCTGTGCACATGTGGAAACATTCACGAGCATGGGCATTTGTCAATGCTGCAGTGCAAGTTTTATTAATGTAATAGCTTCGATACTGAGTCGCTACATTATATTTCTCAGCAACTATGGGGTAAAATTTATATTTTTGAAATAATGAAACTCACAGCTTCACTGTTTGCAGAGCGAGATGCACAGATGCAATTCACACATGCAACTTTCATCACTCTCTGTTGATAATTAATTCAGATCAATGCTATAATTCATGATTCAAATAAATGTGATCTTACCGCAGTACTTGATCTCTGTGTCTGATTTCAAGAGGGCAGAATTCTAGATCTCAGCTGCATGTCGGGTGGTTCTTTGTCTCCATCAAGCATTAAAATCATTTAATACACAGCCAGCCATTACATAAATGACAACAGAATTATGATGTTGGCTTGACAAAGCCCTCCACTAGAGGGAGGAGCCGGATAACTCCTCTCACTTAGTTTCACTTTAAAATCAGTTAAAAATACAAATAAATACATTTAATGTATTTACAAATTTGTAATGTAAACAGCTTCACTGTTTGCAGAGCGAGATGCACAGACGCAATTCACACATGCAACTTTCATTACTCTCTCTGTTGATAATTAATTCAAATCAATGCTATAATTCATGATTCAAATAAATGTGATCTTACCGCAGTACTTGATCTCTGTGTCTGATTTCAAGAGGGCAGAATTCTAGATCTCAGCTGCATGTCGGGTGGTTCTTTGTCTCCATCAAGCATTAAAATCATTTAATACACAGCCAGCCATTACATAAATGACAACAGAATTATGATGTTGGCTTGACAAAGCCCTCCACTAGAGGGAGGAGCCGGATAACTCCTCTCACTTAGTTTCACTTTAAAATCAGTTAAAAATACAAATAAATACATTTAATGTATTTACAAATTTGTAATGTAAATACAAATTTACAATTTCATTCACACTGACATGCTAAACCAATATATCTGATCATTACCCGGTCAGGACAGGATAATATTGACTGTCTGATGGCCAGAGCAGTGTGAAAGAGGAGAGATCTGTGACCACAGCGATCAGCAAAAGCACTCCGTACGTGCTCCCAAAACTACAGCATTTGCACATGTTTTAAAGCCTTGTAAATTAAAACACTCCAGCGATTGAACACAATAAGAACATACAAGAAGAACATATCAAAAAGCTAAATTGAGTGCATGTGCGCTTTTTTATATGTTTCACTGACATCCACGTCGCGCCGGCTTCTCTGCACTCAAATGGACAAATACATACAGAAACTACATCATTTGCATGTTTTAAAGCCTTGTAAATTACGTTGGCAGCACGTTAACATTCCGTTAGCCTGTTAGCTTGTCAATCGCATCTCCATTCACGTTTCATACCACTTCTCTTTTCTCTCCGTCTCGCTCTGTTTTTTATGAGTCCATCAAACACATGTGGTGAGTCTGAATTATTCTACAATCACGGTGAGAAGTGGCTTCTCCTTGCACTGTCACCTGCACCGCTTGCCACATGTTCAGCGTATCGGTCTCTGTCAGCAGTGATTGATTCACATGTGATAAATGCAGGAAAATAGTTAGACTGACAGAGAAGATCTCAGAACTAGAGGTGGATTAACTTTCATACTGTGTCCCAGGGATAACCAGATACAAATTTGAGATGTCTTCAGTTATTAAATATAAAGTTTTAAGCACGTGCAATCTTTTTATTCATCCGTTTAGACAAGTCATTAAATAATAAATGTATATCTTATTTTAATTAATCTATTATTATTTAAATAATCAGCAAAATCCATATCTTGGAACACTTTTTTTTCCTTCTCTAAATCAACATTCATACAAGTCCCTTTATTGCTTAGGTCTCATACACTCATTCACTCTTCTCCAGTGTAACACCAGCTGCGCCCTTCTCCGTGACCTGATCACACTCAAGTGACGGTCCTGGTGGGGCACACATCTTTTGCTCCACCAAATATAAATGGCTATATTCATATTGATTATACTTGAATAATTTATATTTTGATTAATTAAAATCTTCCACAAGACGCATCCAAATTTTAATTGAGGACAGTAAGAATGTGAGGGCCCTAGATATGGCTTTGGATGCGACTAGCTTAGCGAATCATGTACATTGTTCGGTTCCGGTTGCAAAGCCCCCACAGCAGGGTGACCGGGTGATTGTGCGACACGACTCATAGTCGTGGGACAAAACACCGCTCTTCCATTCTGATCAAAACATTAAACAGGTTCTCCCCACTCAGTGGCGTGCCACTGAGAAACCTGATGAAAGCGCTCTAGTTATTGGTGATTCTATTCTACAGAATGTGAAAATAGAGACACCAGCCACCATAGTCCAATGTTTACCGGGAGCCAGAGCACCTGACATCTTGGCAAATTGTGCTGGCTAATGCTAATCGTAAATTTAGTAAGATTGTTATTCACGTCGGCACTAA